GGTGGATCTCCCAGGTGGAGAGTTCTAATCAGATTTTCCTGGGCAGTACAATCACTGCTCAACAGGGAGAGTTCAAAGTGGCCTGACAGTAGAAATTCACAGGCACTTCCATCCTGCAAACCCAAGGGGATGGAGCCTGGACCCCTCTGGTGAGCCACCAAGTCAGAAAAGATTGCTTGCCACGTACTGTTGTGGCTCTTCTTTCTCCTGCATGTCCCTCTCTTCCCCTGCAGCTTCCACTTGAGTCATTGTTTCTGTGCTGCTGTCCAGCGCCCCACGTGACGCACAGCCCTCTCAGGGAATCGCAACACACTCTGGGCTCTGCTGGGGGCAGACCTTCAGACTGCCAGGCAAGGGAGGACAAGTGGACTGGGAGTTCAGAATTGGAGGGAAAATATTTGTTCAGTTTTATGCCAGACAGGATGATGCCTGAGCTCACAAGTGGGACATCCTTGGAGAAGGAGGCCCTGTGTATAGTGGCTCTCTCCTGTGAGGTAAAATGAGGTCTTCTGTTCCCTGCTCACTTGCAGAGAGCCCACAGCGAGCTTCCCAACTGAAGGGCAGGGGTCTCTTGTCCTCTTGGCAATGGGCTTTGTACCTGGAATTTGTTTTCTTGGATCCTCTTTCTTAGACTTGCAGCTTGCCTCAGCAGAGATGATGTGCACTTGTCTATCTTCTTTTTTAGCTCAGCTCCCCACCTTTGGCTTTTGAGTCCACTTCTGTCCAGAATCTCTCCCTCTGGACAGGACCCTCTGGCATCAGCCATCTTCCTTCCTCTTCTACAATAGTCTTCTTAATAAATGTTGGAAATAGTTCACCCATATTTTCCAAAAGGAAGGCTTTTGTCAGTAATGTATTCTCGAAACTTTTGTACGGATTGGTGGTGATTATGTGGGCTAGTGGAGGAGCTCTTTTTTGTTGTTTTTTGAGACAGAGTCTCACTATATTGCCCTCAGTAGAGTGCCATGGTGTCATAGCTCACAGCAACCCCAAACTCTTGGGCTTCAGTGATTCTTTTGCCTCACCCTCCCAAGTAGCTGGTACTACAGGTGTCTGCCATAACACCTGGCTATTTTTTTGGTTGTAGTTGTCATTGTTCAGCAGGCCCAGGCTGGATTTGAACCTGCCAGCTCTGGTGTATGTGGCTGACACCCTAGCTGCTGAGCTACAGGCGCCAAGCTGGAACAGGTCTTTTTTACCTCTATTTTATGCTGTTGCTTTCTAACTCCAGTCTTATATTGATTATATTACTTCTCACTACATTTTTTATCTGTGGGGACTTCACATGTCCTTTGCTGTATGGTTTGAACATTAGAGAGAGTAAGATTTGGGGTAGGATGATATGGGATCTATGTTATTATTGTTGTTTTGTTCTTTGAAGAAGTGAAGAGGAATATGTGTAGAAAGCCATTAGTACTATCCCAGGTTGTGTTTCTTTACAAACTCTTCTATTTTCTCCCTGCCACCTTTTTTCTGTTTGTATTTGAGTGTAGGGATGCAGGTCAGGTATTGTAATCAGAATTCTTATGTAGGAAAGGTAGAAACTATTCTTATATGATTTCTACTTTCTTTTTTCCCTTGTATATTGTGGTGCTCAAAACTTCTCCCTTTTACTAATTATGAGGTTTTTAGGGCCAATTACAAAGTTATGAGGGCACAGTCCTCAAGACTGTCCTTACCCCTGACACCAACTGAGATTAAGAGGTTTCCTAAACTGCCATCTGATCAGTAGTTTTCTAGAAGGGCTCACAGAACTCACTGAAAGCTACTACATTTGTGATTGTGATTACTATAGGGGAAAGAATGCACATTAAAGTCAGCCAAAGGAAGGGATGCGCAGGGCAGATTCTGGCAGGGTCCAAACCTGGCATTGTTCTTTCTTGTTGGAGTAATGGGCAGTGTTAACACTGTGTTACAATACAAACAGAACATTGCCAACAGGAAAGTTTGTCTGAGCCTCAGTATTTGTGGTTTTTATTGGAGTCCATTACGTAAGTGTGATTGATTGATCATGATTGTCCATATGGTTTATCTCAGACTCTAGGTCCACTAATACTTTGGGACCCAAAGCCTCCACTCTAAGTTGCATGATTGGTGCTAAGACTGTTGGCTATAACTGGGCCCACCCTAACTTCTGATGTGGCTATCACCCTCCTTTAGCAAAGATGCTCCCATCAGGTATAACATAGATTATCTTCTAGAGGCCGAGGGTGAAAGCTGGCCAGACCTCTATTTTGGCATTGCCAAATTCTTTATACTAAATAATTAGGTACTTGGAGAAATTGTTATGTTCTTAGGCTAGAAGACTGTCATTTGGTGTAGTTCTTACATACTTCTCTAAGTACATTATGTATCATAGTTGATTGAGAAACTAAAGAGGACTATGGAGTCCATTCCAATCCCAGATTAATTATGTATCACTTACAAGGGGCAGTGAATGTTAATCATTAGGCGGCAGAGTGATAGATTTCAAAGAGGACTGTCCTAGAGTTGAAAGATCTGGCTTTAGAGTAAATAATTCTTATTTTCTATATGGACAAGTCTGAGACCCAATTCCCTAAATTGTTAAGCAGATATCATTTCCTGGAGTTGTTAAACAAGGATTGAATGAGCTAAGTTATAATGTCCTATATTGATTTTATTACACATATTTGCTGAGTGAGTGTCATTTAATCTTTTAGGACTCCTCTTCTATGGCTAGAAATATTCTCTTTCACTTGAGAACTCTTTTCTTATGCTTTAAGGTTAGCTTTAAACCTTTTCTCCTCTGTAAAATCTTCCTTCTGTGACTTTTCCTTGCTTAGTTTGTTCACACGTTGTATGTTTCTCTGTACATACACCATACTGTATTTCATTTACCTGATTTATGAATCTCTAGCCAGGTTGGTGATTTCTCAGTAGGAAAGTACGTGTGTTCTGCATTGGGCAGCATATCATAATCTCAGGGAGTGGTGTGGGCCTGGGGAGAGCGCGCATATAGTCTATAAAATACAATCTACAAGAAAAATTTTACTTTGTTATCAGACTAGTCACCATACTTAATTTGTTTAGGGATTCTAAATGATAAAGGGAGGTGTATATTTAGATTTTTATATTTATTAAAATTAGACCTGGGTTGAACAAAAAGTTGGGAGTGGGTATCTCATACACTGGGAATGTGTCTTATTTCTCATTTTATTCCCAGCATTTACCATGATGCCTGGCACATAATATGTACCCAATCAATGTATGTGGAATAGAAATAAGAAGGGGGCATTTCCCTAAGAGAAGTTTGGTAGTAAAAACAATTTTTGAGTTTTCTTCCTCCACTTTTTTTTGCTACTTCCTTGTTTCTTTTCCTTTTTATTTACTGAGGGAAGACATCATTTTATGGTTGCCTAATCCAAATTGAGCACAATTTAAGACTTTGATAAAATCCTATGAAGATTTTACAATTGAAAAATCTTTCAATTACATATACATATATATGTATGCTTTTTTTTTTTTTTTGAGATAGAGTCTTACTCTGTTGCCCTAGACTAGAATGCTGTGGCATCAGAGCTCACAGCAACCTCAAACTCCTGGATTAATCATAATCTTCATGCCTCAGCCTCCCTAGTAGCTGGGACTACAGGTGCACACTACAACATGCAGCTGGTTTTTCTATTTTTCGTAGAGATGAGGATCTTGCTCTTGCTCAGGCTGCTCTTGAATTCCTGAGCTCAAGCAGTTCACCAGCCTCAGCTTCCCAGAATTCTGGGATTACAAGGAGAGCCCCCATCTCTGCCTACAATATATATTTCTCTAATTCCTCCTATTCTGCCGTACCTAGGAATTTGATCATTATATGAAGAGCTTTATCAAAATTAAAATTGTCTTTTACTTTTTAAATGAATAAATTAAAATTGATTGATTATATTTAGCTATTTATTTACTTTATAATATTTATTGATCTTTACTGTGTTCAAGGCACTTGGATATATTTTTAATGAGCTACAAAGATGTATGAGATATAGATGGTTATATATGTAAGTAATTTGTATTTTAAGAGAGGCATAAAATAAGGGTAAACTCTTAGATATCAAAAATATGAGAAAAGAATTATATGATAATAGACATCACAGTTGTATTTTTGATAGGAAATTTTAGTATTTGATAAAAAGGAATTTGCAGAAACAATGTTCATATTTATTCTTCATTTTTCTTCTCAGATAATGGATCTGGATCTGGAGAAGGAGGTAAGTTTCAGGTACCTCTGAAAGGGCATTTGTTTTCTTTGACTTTTTTTTTAACAGCCTTGAGATATAATTCACATACCATACAGTTTGCCATTTAAAGTATACAATTTAGCGACTTTTAGTGTAGTCACAGAGCTGTGTGTTCTTTACCACAGTCAATTTTGGAAGATTTTCATTACCTCAAAAGGAAACCATACAAGACTTAGCCATTACCCCAATCCATCTGTGCCCCTCAGCTGTAGGCATTCTTGTTTCATGCACTTTTTTTTAGTAAAGGTTTATTTATCAGACAAAAGGGAAAATGTTGTAGCTTCTGTGCAATGGATGTTGCATCAAAGGGACTTCTTAGGGTTATTCCCACAGTAATTTTAGCTTAGAGTATTTGTAACTCTCTTCCACCCCTTGCTTCAAATTTTTGCTCATAAGGAATTTTTAAGGTATATGGTTAAAAAATTCCAAAGTGAGTTAGCTTGGAAAATGGAAGATTTGCAAAATCTAGTGTAATTTAGAGTTTAAAGTTAACCTTAACAAAATTCATATCTATGTTTTTTATTTTATCTTACAGATATGTAGTATAGGAATTAATAATTTCTGATATTTAAAATGTATTTGGTAACAACATATAATGGAGTTTAAGTGATCAGAGTTAAGAATGCCAAATCTATTTCATAGTCTAATAACCCTGTAATTTTTAATGAGTATCCACTGTGTGCAAAATAAAGTTTGCGTTACACTTTTACTTCAGTAAAATTCACATTTAAGCAAATGGAACAGCAATTATGATACTTTCAAAATATCCAAAACCTTACTCCAGGCTTCTGCATTGGATAGAATCCTCAACTTTTAGAATTAGAAGGGACTTTGAAAGTCACCTAGAGACTAGAACTGTCAGAGGAAGGAGTTCAAGGATGACAGTTTCAGCTAAAAAAATAAGATTAAAGCTGTTGAACAATAGATTTTTGATTTAAGTGGATGTGTTCAAGCAGAAGCTTCATAATTGTATGTGAAGGATCACATCATAAATTCTAGACCTTAGAACTGGAATGGATTTTAAGAAATCATGTGGTTTAGCCCCTCTGGTTAGATACTCAGTTAGGAAACTATCATTGTTCCTGTATTAAAGAAGCGAGAGACTAGATCTCAAGATTTGATTATATATTATACAATACTGGATGTCTTGACCTGAGGATATAGATTGACCCTTTTTTAAGGGAGTGTGGATGGATTAGAAAGGCCAAGTGATTTGTTCAGATTAATATACAAATAAAGGCCTCAGAATTACTTAGGTTTATGATTCCTAGAATCTGTTTGGGAGTGTTCATGAGAATTTGGGAACGATTTCTACTTAAAGGTCAGACAGACACCAAAAATCAGAAATTTGGCATTATTATTAAACAGGCATGGTCCTTTTAACACTTTCTTTACCAATTGACATCCCTTGAATAGTATTTATTTTCCCAAATCAAATTCAGGGAAATCCCATGAATAAATTAAAATCCTAAGTTGACCTCAGAACTAAACTCCCCGTCCAGTTTGAGATTATCAGGATGTGGTCTGTTCTAGGTAAGATCCACAAAATTTAGAGCCCCGTAAGTGTGGGATGTGAGCTGAGTTGGGGACTAGTGGTACTCACTGTTCTTCGTGCTGGTCATAGGGGACCCACACACTTCTGCATCAGGGTATCTTTGGCTGTGCGAAGTAGCCAAGCAGAAGGAAGGGGAAAGTCCTTCATAAAGACCTCTTTCCTTTTTAAAATTTGCAGATGAGTATTTTCTTTAACTGTGATATTAGTTCTTGTGTGCTTAGAAAAGCAGGTGTGAGACTGATTTGATGAAAAGGTGAGAGTTATGTTTTATTGTAGAAAAAAAAAAGAATATGTTATACTCAATAATTGGCAACATATTTGGACTCAAGCATTGCTAGATTTTCGAAGTGACTGTTTTCAAAACCTCAGGTGCCCTTTCCCCCTAAACAGGATTATGACTACTGAAAACATGAAGGGTATCTGGAAAGGATCCCAGGTATGGTTGAAATTTGGCTGAAAATTTGATTTTTCTTTTTAAACAGAAGAGGAAGGGTCAGGGGCAGAAGTTCACAGAAAACACTCCAAGTGTGGACCTTGCAAATATAAAGCTGAGTGTGACGAAGATGCGGAAAATGTTGGGTGAGTTCATTGAGGGAAAGGGATAAACTTACTTAGAGATTAACCCTCACTATGATTATGTTGTAGAAAGGTATTATTTACTTGATTCTGTAAATTTTGTGTGTGCTTTCTATATTTTTTTTGTTTAATGCTAGTGTATTGACTTTTTTCGTAAGTCAAAATAATACCATGTCTATTTAAATCAGTTTGAGTGTCATCTTTTGGGATGAGAATCTATTTATAGTTTTTTTTTTTTTTTGAGACAGAGCCTCTCAAGCTGTCCCCCTGGGCAGAGTGCCGTGGCATTACAGCTCACGGCAACCTCCAACTCCTGGGCTCAAGCGAGTCTCCTGCCTCCGCCTCCCAAGTAGCTGGGACCACAGGCGCCCGCCACAACGCCCGGCTATTTTTTGGTTGCAGCCGTCATTGTTGTTTGGCGGGCCCGGGCTGGGGATTCGAACCCGCCACCTTAGGTGTACGTGGCTGATGCCTTAGCCAGTTGAGCTATAGGCGCTGAGCCATTTTTTTTTGTTTTTATTTTCCCTATACCTTTGTTTAATTGGTAGCGTTATATGTTTGTACCAAGTGCCAACTGGTACAAAAATCAAAACTGTTACTATCCTGAATTATCCTGCTGTCACACTTTACAACTATAATAGATGGCTTTTTTCTTATAGTTTTCTGTAAAAACCTTTCAAATAAATATTTCAGTGTATTAATTAGCATTAATGCCCAAAGTGTGTTTTAGAAATCAAGATCACTCTATTTTGAATATTACAGTACAAAATCAGTTATTTGGATGGCATTTGGTAAAATTAAATGTCTGATAGTTTACATGGTGAATATTTTAAAATAGGTGAAAATTAGCAAAAGACAAACACACTCAGTAAAAAGCTAATTCAGCAAAAGCTGCATTTACTCTGTTTCTGCAAAAGACAAGCAGGTTTAGTAAAAAGGGAGTTCGGTCAAACATGAATTACTCTCTTTCTGCATATTGGTCACTTGGATTGACCTGTGTCTGTCCATTTCAGTCAGAGTGGTTTGGTTTGGGAGGACATGTTTTCCAAAGCAGCTGCTGGCCTGTGGGACAGGAGAGAAGTGATGAACAGTATGGACTTAACGGAGATCCCAGATAGAAGATACTATGCCGTCCCTTCCTCTTATTTTATACTAATGATGTGACATGATGAGACACAATGGAGAGACATAGTGTGTGTGTGTTTTTATAGGCATTTACTTAGAACTGTTCTGCAGTAGTGTTCAGAGTCACAATGGCTGTCAGTGATTGATTTGCTTATTCTATTAGTCTGTTTTTATTCCTTCAACAGTACCCTATTTAGCCCTTTTCTCTATTATCATTTTTCATGCCTAAATTGAGAAAGATAGAGGTCTGTGGCTTAAAAGTGAAACAGATTCCATCTAGTCTCAGAGGTGGCCCCAATAAGACATCTGTATGATAAAATGCACGTCTTTATGTAAACACTTCCTTATAATATGTAGCCTACTCCCAGTCAGAGTGACTCTGTTGTATGTACTAAATTAATTTTTATGTGTCTTTATCTGAGAGCTTGCAGCCACTATTCTTGTGGATATAGGCTCTAAGCAGAGGGACATGAGCACAGACAGGGAAGAGTTTACCAGGAGTAAGGAGCATGCAGGCTCTTAACAGGAGGTTAAAGAGCACATAGATTGGGAAGACCACCCAAGATCAGGCAAGGAAATTAATGCAATAGTAGGAAACCCTTAGGGAAGCAGCTGATACCGTTATCTAGAAAAGAAATGATCAAGTTAAAATGGTTGACTCTACTGTGGAAAGAGATAAATGGAAATTTTAGGAACATCTGATCTTTAAGTCTGTAAAACACTTACTACAGATCAGTTGTTTTAACAGCGTAAATGTATCTCAATGGTTAAGTTTTTTTAATCTTCTAAATGGGTCTTGGTACCAAGACAGGTATATGGAGGTTATGAAACTCGCTCAAGGCACCTTCCATGTGATTTTCATGGTTGCCAGAAGGTAAATAGTAACATGTTTATTTAAGGGTAATTTTTACCCAACATCCAGGTAGCTCTTTTAGGTATGGAAAACAAAGAAATGCAGAAAAACATTAGGTGCTGAGCCTTGATTTTTATATAAAATCCTATTACTTATTAAGATATTAGGTAATTTTCTCATTAAAAGATAAACTTTTAGTTATTAGGAACAGAAGCTCAATTATAATCCAAGTACTTATGCCATGATTTAATTATCATAAACTCCATCAGTATCAGAGTGTTAAATAGGATCTTAATAATTACCCTCTAGTCTATCCTCTCAGTTTGTAGATGGGGACATTGAGGACTAAAGCCAAGAGGGATGATTCTCCTGCTTCCAATATAGTGCTTTTCTTACTACCTGACTCCTGTAACTTTTTTTTTTAATTTCAGATCAGTATGAGGAGGGTACACATGCTTAGGTTACACTACATTTGTTAGGTGAAGTTCAAGTTACAGTTGAGCCTTTCACCCAAGAGATGTGCTGTGTACCCTCACATTGTGCATATTACCGTAGTTGAGAGTTTACCAATCCTCCTCCCTCCTCTCCTTTCGCGCCCCCCTCCGCCACCTGAATTTAATTTAGTTGTGTTTTTCTCTAAAAATTCCTAGAAGGCCAGGTGCAATGACTACCTTCTGTAATCTTAGCACTCTGGATTGCCTGAGCTGAGGAGTTTGAGAGTACCCTAAGCAAGAGCGAGACCTCGTCTCTACTAAAAATAGCAGAAACTAGCAGAGTGTTGTGGTGGCACCTGTAGTACTGGCTACTTGGGAGACTGAGGCAAGAGTATTGCTGGAACCTGAGAGTTTGAGGTTGCTGTGAGCTATGATGATGCCATGACACTCAACCCAGGGGACAGAGTGAGAGTCTGTCTCAATCCCCCCCACCAAAAAAAAACCCAAAAAACATTCTTAGAGGACAGCCTGAGCAAGAGCAAGACCCTGTCTCTACAAAAAATAGAGAAATTAGCTGGGTGTGGTAGCTCATTCCTATAGCCTCAGCTATTCAGGAGGCTGAGGCAGGAGGATGGTTTGAGCTCAGGAATTTGAGGTTGCAGTGGTCTATGAGGATGACCCTGTTTCAAAAGAAAAAAAAAAGAAAGAAAAAATTTCTAGAAGGAATGCTGTTATCTTTTTTAAAAAAATCTTTTTCTGATTTTGAGAACTGTTGCCCAATGACTTGGAAAAAAATAAAAATAAAAACACACTCCTTTCTTTTCCATCCGTCTGGTCCCAGCTGTGGTTTCTTTCCTGCCTTACTAGCTTCTCGTTGTTCAGTACTAGCTGCTTCTAAATTCTATTAGTCCTTAGCTGCTATCTATAATAGAAACCAAATGCCTATTTATCAGCTTTTTATCAGTGACTTTCAGACTTTTATTGGGCTTATCTAGCACTATTCTATATATATACAGGGTATTCTTTCAAATTAAGTAAAACAAAATTCCATGAAATAATGTCTACTTTTATTAAATGCCATGCCCTCTAATATTTCCTACCCTATTACCTTAAAAATGCAGGTAGTGACCCACTAAATTGCCTTCATAATCCACTAGTAATTCTGATGTACAGTTTGAAAAATATCCCTATGTAAATATGTTTTATTTAATTTTTTGAGGTATGAATATTCATATAAAATGTGTTTTATCTTTTCTCATTTTGAAATGTCTTTCCTGTCAGAAGAAATTCTATCCAACCTACCTCGTTTCCAAAGAGCAGCTAAAATATTTCTTTTGCTTTTTAACACTCTTTCTCTTGCTAACAGTTGTTTAAAAAAAAAAATCTGGCATTTTTGTGGAGGGGATAAGTGGTACTGTGTAAGTTAATTTTCTGCTATTAAGAGAAGTGCTATTTTTTAATTTAGCCATTTAAATGGAAATTGATTTAAATATATTGCATACTTCCTTGGCTTCTTGAACAGAATATACAGAACATATTTTAACATTCTTAATGTTACATATTATATAGTATGTTACAGTTTTCAGAGAGCTTTTTGCATAATTTCTTTTCAGCTTTTCCTGGCAGTTCTGTCTGATAGTAGAGTAAGTATTGCCGTGATGTTGCAGGTGAAGGTGAGTTTAGAAGAGGCTGAATGGCTTGCTGTTACGTGGCAGAACCAGAACACAGGTCTCACAACAAGGACTCTGTCTCTTTTGTTGTGCATACATTGTGTAATACCACCATCTTGGAGGCCACTGATGGGTGCTGGTCATTTAACTGCTACACTTAAGGCTCCATTCTGCTTTGTGTTGGGGTTCTTATATCTTTTTTTAAAAACTAATTTTTCTTTCCATTTGTCAAGCTGTTAGCAGCTGCTTCTAGGTGCTCTCAGTGTGCCTTTGCAATGAGCTTGACTGTAGATTCCTCCGACTTTTAATTTGCTTCTCTGCTTCCCTGGATAGGAGACAGTACTCTTGAAGGAACTGTTTTACTGTAGGAATAAATTCTAAATGCAAAGTAAGAGTATTGAGATTCTTCTGAGCGAAGTGCATGAACTTTATTGCATGCATTTTATGTCATCTGCTGGGTGGCTATTTTAATTCATTTATAATTTAGATTATTTTTGTCTTTCCTTCCTGAAGCACACCGTGTGTCTCCAGTGGCTCTGTAGGCTTTGCATGAATTTGCAACGGCATCATTATTGGTTAATGCTCACCTTTCACATTTATACCTGGAGGTAGGTAGTTGAGGTTCCATGAAATGTGACTCCTCATAGGTGGGTTTCAGTGGGTCTGTTCTGACCACGGTGTGAAGTGCAGTGAATAGACTTTCTACTTAGTTTCAAAACTAAGGAGCACACCACCTCCTTTACAGCACTTTATTTTCCTTAAACCATATGTTCTTAGTACCACACCTCCTTTTTTTTTTTTTTTTTTTTTAAGAGACAGAGTCTCACTTCAGGGCCCTTAGTAGAGTGCCATGGCGTCACACAGCTCACAGCAACCCCCAACTCCTGGGCGTAGGTGATTCTCTTGCCTCAGCCTCCTGAG